AGCGATTTGTCCAAAATCGTATACATGGTAGACTGAGATCTGAACCCAGATCTATCAGACTCTGATCTGGGATTTATTATAAACAATTTGGCAGACCTAAAGATTTGAAGATCTAAACTCGAAGCAGAACTGAAAGCTTTCCAATTCTCCCAACAGTTTTCTAAAAGGGTATTTGAACAAAATGTTTCCGCTTCCCCCTAGCTTTCTATAGTGTTCAATGCTCACTTTCCCCCACTGCTCCAGGGCTGGACAGCTCCCTCCTTCTGAGATGCTTCCTTTCCAGAGAGGGAGCAGGACTTGAGAAGAATTGGCTTTTTTTCCAGAATGGTGATGCCTCAGCCTGTGTATGAGAATGTGTGTGTGCATGATGTTTATGTGTATGTGTGAGTGTAAGTATCATGGTATATGTGTGCTTGCGTACCTACCAGTGTGTGTATTACGGGTGCATGTCTGACTATATGCAAACACGTGTTTGTCTGTGTGAATGTGGTATGCGTGGGTGCTTTCGTGTGTGTCTCAGGGTGTATCTTGGTTTATTTGTGATTGTGTGTGTTTCTCTGTGTATGTTACTATGTATATGTGTTTGTGTTCTATGTGTATGTGTGTACTAAGTATGTGAATGTGTGTGTTTGTCTGACTGTGTATGTGTTTGTGTGGGTGTGGATGTCCTGGGATGAGTCCAAGGGAGCCTCCCTGCCTATGTAGTTGCTCTCGCTGTGCTTAGGTCTGTGCTTTGAGCCATGTCACTCTGCAGGACTCACAGAAGCCTCTGGGCCCTGCCGATGGGGAAGGCATTGTACCGTGTGACCCAGCATCTCCCCAGATTCCTTGGCTGTTCTGTGGGCTTTGTCGTCTTTTCATGGCTGAGCCCACTCTCTGCCGAGCCCCAGCAGAGAACATCACCAAAGAACCCTTTCGTGCAGATAAGATAAAAATGTTCATTTTAAGTGAAATGACTCTTCATATCAGAAACTGAGTTTATAGGTTAAATTCTTAGCGACTCCCAGGATCGGCTTAAATTCCAGTTTTTAAAGTGAAATCTTGTGATATTAAATACTGCATGAAGTAAGTTGAGTTTATTAGGGACTTGGAGATCTCCTGGCTCCTTGGAAATTTTGGTTACAACTTTATTTCTGGTAGGAGACCCATATAACCTCTGTCCTGTTCGGGATCTCTGAATTTAAAAATAATAATCATTTATTGTAAGTTTAAAAAAAGCTTGTGTTGCTCCTGGAAAGATTTCTAGATAGCTTACATTTCACACTAATCAAAATAATTACACGGAGTGCTGTCACCTGAAGAGTGGGATCTGAGTTCACAGGTCTCCACCCCCTCACAGCCAGGGATGAATCTGAACTTGACAGATGTCATCAACAAGCTGACACCTTGCAGCTGGGGGGATGGGATCAGCAGGACAGGGGCTTCTGCTTCCCTCCCTCCTCTGGGTGTTGGCTGTCTGTCCCATACAACACATGCATACCCTGTCTACAGGATCTAAATGTATGTCTCATTTGTATTTCCATTTGCCCAGTGTTTCGGAGCACGAGAGGCCCATGGCTTATTTATGCCCTTGTCACTGTATGCAGAGCAGATTTGAGGCTACCTCTTCCCTCCACCTCCCCTCCATAAAATGACAGGGGTAGAGCCAGGTGAGGCGTGTCCAGATCCCTCCAGCTCTCAGGTTGGGTTAGCCTACTTTAAGCATAGGCTCTTGGTTCAAATCCCGATTCCCCCATTGTGGGACATTGGGCACTTTGCTTCGGGTCTCCAAGCTCAGTTTTCTCATGTGTACAATGGGGTAAGAACACTTTCCTACCAAGTGGTATGGATTATTGAGATAATATACATCCAGGACCTGGCAGAATTCATAACAGGCTCTTGACATCTGACTTTACCATTATTGATATATTACGGATCTCTCAAATCATTTTTACGTTATCTTTGTTTTTAAAAATGCCCCCCCCAAATCTACATTGGAATACAGTGTGAAAGATTTTTTTTTTTAACTTAAAAAATCGCCCTTAGAATGTCCCTCACATTTTTACCAAACTCGAGGACCCCAGTCTGGTCCCAAGGCCTGAGAGAACCCCGAGTTTGGGGAGCGCAGCCCGACCCAGCAGGAAGCATCCCTGCAAGCTGGAGGCTGAAATGGCTTGTCTGTCTGCTTTTAGTGTTGTTCCTAAGCGTGTTGTCTCCGTTTCCAAGCCTGTAGAACTCCTCTCCCCTGCATACATTAGCCTTAATGTATTCTCTCTTGAATACTCATCATATTAAGGCTCCCGGTAGCTACCTTGCTCGAAATAAATTTTATGAGCACACATCCTCGCCCTCATCCCCTGCATTTGCGGCCGGGAGGAGAAATATAGCCGCACCGCTCCTGGAGGCAGGGCCAGACGACAGTCAGGTGGGAGCGGGGCGGGCTGCGGGAGGGAGCGGGCCGGCGCACCCCGCGCGGGGACCGCGGCTCTCCGCCCGGGTTCTCCAAGGGTTAATGAGCTTCCGCCGGCCGGGGGACTCCGGCCGTCCGCCCGCACAAAGACGCCCCTAGCGGGGCCGTGTCGCCGCATCCCCGGTGGCCGGCGGGGACAGACGGCGGCCCCCGGCCTGGGACGCGCCCCCCGCGGCTGGTGGGCACGGGCACGCCGCTCTGCACCCGTGCGTCCGCCGGCCGCTTCCCAGCGCGGGGGGCCTCCGTCTCCTCTCCCCTCCCTTGAAAACCGTGCCAGAGCGATCCTACTCCGCACCTCCTTCCTCCAGCCCCTGGCTCCGCAGCCGCAGCGGTTCCGAATGCGGACGCGGGCAGGAGAACCCAGCGCCCCTTGCCCCCCCTTTTTGAAAAAATGATTTCTATCTAGTGGGGTTTATTTATTTATAATTTATTTTTTAAAGGTTTTATTTATTTGTCAGAGAGAGAGAGAGAGAGAGCACAAGCAGGGGTAGCGGCAGGCAGAGGCCGAGGGAGAGCCAGGTTCCCCGCTGAGCAAGGAGCTGGATGTGGGACTCATCCCAGGACCCTGGGATCATGACCTGAGCCAACGGCAGACGCTTAACCGACTGAGCCACCCCCGCGTCCCATGAACCACCCAGGTGTCCCCCCCTTGCCTTTATTGACCTTCTTTACAAGAGTTGTTCCCCCCCCCCACTGGCCTGGTCACACCGCAGGAGTCCCTGGTGAGTCACTCCTCACTCCTCGGAGTCTCCTCTCTGCGTCTCCCGATCTCTCCACCGTTAAGGCCCCCCTGCCCCCCTCCCCTTCCCTGCTGCTCCAGGGATGCCAGTCCTGAGGGACTGTGAGAGAGGCCGGGGAGTAGTTGTAGTTGAGGGAGGACTACCCGCAGGCAGACAGGCATGCCCCTGGCCCTGGCGGAGCTGCCCTGGTGGTGTGGGGCGCTCTCTGAGCCTCTACCTGAGGGCCCAATGAGATCAAGTCCGTGAAAGGGGGGGGTGTTCCTAACTTTCCCTGCCCTCAGCCACAACAGCACCATATCTAACAGCTGGTTACTGCAGTTATCTCCTAATAATAGCAAGCCTTTATTGAGCACCTACTGTATACTGGCCCACTCCTACCCATATTGATTCAATTACTCTTCACAACAATCCTACTAGGTACTATTGTCATCACCTCCCCCCCCCCCCGTTTTAACAGGAGCAGAGAGAGGTGAAGTGATTTGTTGAAGGTTAAAAAGCAGAGCCAGGATTCAAACCTAGGCAGCCTGGCTCTAGAATCCATGGTCTTACCCTGTGTCTTACTCACCCCCCATTATTTGATGGAAATCCTCTTGCTGTTGTGTGCTTAGTACTTTGCTGGGCACATCGGAACTGTTTGGTAAGTAACTCGGTAACTAATTGGTAAACATTTTCTTTGTCAAGGAGGAAAAAATTTTTTAAAAGATTTTATTTGAGAGAGAGAGTGAGAGAGAGAGAGAGAGAGAGCACAAGCAGGGGGAGGGGCAGAGGGAGAAGCAGACTCCCCGCTGAGGGGGGAGCCTGATGTGGGCTCTATTCACGGACCCCAGGATCATGACCTGAGCTGAAGGCAGACGCCCAACTGACTGCGCCACCCAGGCACCCTGGAAAACTTTTGAGATGGGAAAAAATGCCATATGCATAAGGACAGTTTGCAGGTATCCAGACCCATGCAGATCTGCCTCAGTGTGGCTCCTGGTAGTTTTCATGGGGCATTTTGGTGGGAGAATGGGGTCAAAGAGCAAGCCATCTAGTGGGTCTGACTTTCAGGCACATGTTGGTAGCTGCCGAGGCCATAACGGGAACAGGCTGGGTTCGGGGTTTAGTGGGCCCAACACTGACACATGTCCGTCTGTCACTAGTGATGTCACCTAGTGAGGGTCGCAGTAGCCTATCTACAGGTCTGAGATATGAATGACTTAGTACTGGAGCTTTCTTTCTACATAGATTTAGATGTGTTCACATCTCCAGCCCCCCCAAGTGCTTTGAGGCTAATTCCCTTATGTTAACACTTTTAAATGGTATCACACCAACACATATGATATGAACCAAGAAACATGGATGATTCCTGAGAGATTTGGTTTTCCTGGCCCACTCCTACCCGTATTGATATTTTGGAGTGCACTGGAGAAACTGGTGAACTGTTTCAAAGTGGAACTTCTTAGAGAAGACGTGATCAAGTATTTATTCAGTGGGAAACATCGGTGGAGCTACTCATGTGTGCCAGGCACGGTGCTGGGCAGTCAGGATCCAAAGCTGCGAAAGGAGCACTGTTCCTGCCCCTTGAGAATCCCGCCTCCTAATGAGAAACACAGGGTGGATTGGATTTCGGTTCCCACCTGCCGCCTGGACCGGCGACCTCCGTGGGTGTATAGCCCGCACTATTCTATGTGGCAGCCGAAGGGTTTGGGTGATGTCCTTTTCCTCCCATGGGGAAGGAGTTGTGAAGAATGGGAAGGCGTCCACACAGGGTCCAGCCCGGTGAGCAGTGCTGCGTGGAAGGCTCACCCTGCCTTTCTCTCTGCTCCCCACAGAGATCCCTCAGTGCGCCGGCTGCAACCAGCACATCCTGGACAAGTTCATCCTGAAGGTCCTGGACAGACACTGGCACAGCTCTTGCCTCAAGTGTGCAGACTGCCAGATGCAGCTCGCCGACAGATGTTTCTCCAGGGCCGGGAGCGTCTACTGCAAGGAAGACTTCTTCAAGTAAGTCCAAACCCCGGGGGCTGTCCTCAATTCATTCTGGGGTTGGATCCATCGGCAACAAACCTGTTGGTCATGGTGAGGGGACTTCCTAGAATTTATTTTCTGTGGCATTTAGTCTGGGACTTTTCTCCCGGAACCTATTACCCAAGGCACTTAGGCTGGGGCCTTAGCTCACTTGGATGGACCAACTGGCAGCAGCGACACCAAGTACAGGAGGAGGGAGTGTCTGGCAGTGACACCGAGCCCCGTGGGGGTGGCCCGGGGCTGCTGGAGAGGCTCATCAAAGCCTGCAAACATTTGGCACAAATGAGCAAGCCTCAGAGAGGTGGCGTGCATCCTTCAGAGGTTGTGTGTTCTGCACAAAGCGGGGGAGGTGGGGAGAGATGCCAGCCCTGGAGACAGAACATGTTTCTCCCTAATCCCCCCAAGGTTTAACTTCAGGGAATAAGTGATTTGAATTTCTGAGGATTCTCAAATTGCTTTCGTCCAATACGAGTTGAAAAGCACATTAAAGATGAATTTGGTTTCTACTGGGGCCTCCTCTCCTCCATGGCTTGTGTTGAGAAGGCAACACTCCTGGTCACCATCACACTTTGGCCAAAAATGCACCACTCTGTCCCTGTGTGTGTGTGAGCATGTGCGAGTGCACGCGTGTGTGAGAGCATGAACATGTGCGAGTGCACACGAGTGTGTGAGCATGTGCGAGTGCACATGTGTGTGAGCATGAGCATGTGCGAGTGCACACGTGTGTGTGCGCGCGCATGTGGGAGTGCACACGTATCTGAGCATGTGCGAGTGCACGTGCGTGTGTGAGAGCATGTGCGAGTGCGTGTGTGTGTGTGTGTGTGTGCAGGAGAAAGAGGACACAGCGGGCGGGCGTGGCCTTGGGGTTGGCTCAGCTTCGTTCCAGGGTCCGTGCGCCCTCCTTTTCCTGTTTTCTCTGCACTGTCGGGAAGCCTCAGTGAGCTCCAGGGCGGTGGCCTTCTTGCCCAGCTGGGAACCGGGTAGGTGCTGACATGTCCCTGGCTCAGACCACGGGCTGGGCTGTGGGCAAACCCATTGGGATCATGTCACAGGACACTGTCACCAGAGAAGCTCCTTTGAGCCCCTCCCTGGGGTTTGGACCTTGACTAGCTGGCTCCAGGTCTGGGAAAGGGAGGAGGCGGCCGCTCCAGGGGAGGCTGGGGTTTGGGAGAAGTAGTGAGTAAAGGGGTCCCTTTAGACCCAGAAGGGGCCCAGGGTGCAGGCTAGGGAAGGATTAGCACAGGCCTATGAGCCATCAGCCCAAGACCAGAAGTAACAATGACAATTAGTCCCTCAGGCCAGTGCCCTGACCTCCTGCCTCTGTAGCCCTCTGCCCCATGCCACGGTCCTCATTTGGATCCTTCCGGAGCACTGCTCGGCAGTAACCTCGTGACTAAATCTCCCTCCTCCTCTAGCCCACATGCCTCCCCACCAGACCAGCATCCAACCTCACAGCTGACCCTGACCCCCAGCTCCTTCAGCAGGGCACCCTCTGCCTACAGAATATTCCAGATGCATAGTGCCATCAGAGCCTTCCTCCCTGTACCCCAGCTCCCTCTAGTCCTACCTCACCGCTTTCTTGGGTACCCGACGCCCCTTAGCCAGTTGCCCCCTTTCCCAGGCAGGCTCTGACCCAGGCTAGTTTGTCCTGCAGGGATGATGTCTGTCCTCTCGAGGTCTCCCCATCCTTCCATGGCTGTGAGTCCAGCTCTTCCGTGAGTGGGCACCCTGCCCTTTCTCTCTCCCGGGGACTCAGCATGAGTTGCCTTGTTTTTGCTTACTCCTCCTGCACCTGTTTGATCTTCCTTGCTGGCTTGAGGAAAGGTTTATTAGGTATGCATTTTTCCATTTTTCTGTCACTGGCATGGCATGTGCCCCTGGCCTTGCCCACAGGCTGTCCCTGGGTTTGATACAACGAAGAGTAGATCCCACAGTGAATTTACAGTGTGTGTGGTGACCAGTTCCTTCTGTCCCTCATATGCTGTTCTGTGCGTCGTGGACGCCCAGGCTGCCTGGGAAATGCACGGACCCGTGACTTACTTATTTAACTTACTTACTTACTTCTTATTTATTTATTTATTTATTTATTTAAAGATGTATTTATTTATTTTAGAGGTAGAGTGTAAGTGAGGGGAGGGGCAGAAAGAGAAGGGGAGAGAGAATCTCCAGCAGACTCCCCACTGAGCACAGAGCCCCATGTGGGGGGGGGGCTCGATTCCACAAGGCAGAGACCATGACCTGAGCTGAAGTCAAGAGTCCGACCCCCAACCAACGGAACCACCCAGGCGCCCCAGGCCCATGATTTAGTCACAGTCACTCTCTTTGTCCCACAGGACCACTCTGCTTCATAAAATGACCCCCCCTCAGGGTTGGAACCTTTTGTGAAGTAGGGGAGCCGGCCACAGAGTCAGTGCTGAATCCGGTCCTTTCTCTGTGACAAGGGGCTGTGTGGAGAGAAATTTAAAGCTGAGGTGATTCTGCTGGCTGTTAATGGAGGGTGGCTCAGACCTGAAGATTGGGCCACTCTGAAGCCCCCAGGGAGGTCACTTGGCTCCCCAGGCAGTCAGGCCCCACAGAGCTCTTTGGGACTGTGGCTGTTTGGTCGAGCCCCTCACAGTCCTAGGGGAGGACACAGAGGGAGTCAGTCCTCCAGGGTCAGATTGGCTTCACCTTCCACCCCCAGGGGTCTGGGAACTGCTGCCCACGTGGGGCTCAGGCTGTAACTTGGCCGCAGAGCCGGTGGTCTGCTCCTCATGACTGTTCAATAAACGTCACCAGGCACCTGCTCTCAGATGGCACAGCAGGGGACACGTGAGCAGAGAGAGCACAAGGCAGGGCTGGAGGGGCAGAGCAGTCCCGGAGCCCCAAGTCCCTCCCTTGTCCTACACGGGGCTGCAGGAGGGAAGGCAAGTGCCTGGTCAGAGCCAGGGAGACTCTCTTATCTCTGCTCCTTGAAGGAAAAGAAAAAAGAAAGAAAAATCCCTGACATTTTCTGCAACGTGAGGAGCATGGACCTCACTGATCCCCTCTCTGGTGTTAAGTTTCATGATCAGTATTTTAAATCTCTTTGCCCTTAACAAGGGCAGGGCCACTGCTTTGCACAGCTGTAAGGGGTATCCTTTATTCTGTGTGAAGTGTTTTGAATCCAGACTGTAATATGAAGGGTGCCCCGCTGCAGGTGGGGGAGGTCAGCCTTCCACCCCCCTTCCACCAGCCTTCAGCCCACAAGATGCAGTAATACTAGTGGCTGACAGCAGAGGGCGATGTTGATGTGTGCGCGGACAAAGAAAGAAGTATTGTTGGAGGCTTGTACTCTGTGGTTGTTGCATTTTTCTCTTGGAGCTGGTGAATTCTATCTTGCCCAGTAACCTTGGCTGATTTTTGCTGTTTTTCGTTGGTTTTGCCTCTTGGGTCTTTGGCTGCCTTTCTCCAGAGGAAATGAAATTCTGAGACCGAGAGAAGAGGCAGTGAGTTGACTAACACTGTGGTTCCAAGGCAATTACACTTGAATCACAAGCTGAGGAGCCAACAACTCCTTGTGTTGCATTTGCTAAACAGGACCTTTCTGGACTGTGTGTCGTGCAAGTCTCGGGTCCCCTATCTCCTTGCCAAGAGACCAGGGCCTGGGGAGGGCAGGAGTTTGGGAGTAGAGCTTCTGGGTCCCCCTCCTCACCGCTGACCAGGTCCTGGGAGGAGCCTGGTAGCTCGCTTACTCTGCAGCATAGTGAACAGCACAGGGGTTCTCTGCTCCAGGAACTGGTTCAAGTACTGGCTCTGTCAGCATCAGCTGGGCGCCCTTTGGCAAGTTCCTTAACATTTCTGAATGCCAGTGTCCTCTTCAGAAAAAGCGAGAATGTTGATGGTGCCTGCTCTAGCAGACCTGGACACAGGAACATCTCACAAAGGGGAGTTATTTTATGAACACAGTGGTTTGGTGAACCCAGACGGTGCTCAGTTGAATTTCTGTCCTGTCTCAAACTAGCTGTTTGTCAGCAAACAAGTGACCAGGCCTTTCTGAACGTCACTGCCTTATCTTTTCCAAGGTGCTCATTGTAACCCGCAGAGTTGTTGCGAAACGGGAAGGAAATAGCGAGTAAACCATGTCCAGCTCGATGCTGGCTGCTTGATCAGTGTCTCTGGGTTTCTGGCCCTGACATGTGGCCACTTGACCTACATCCCTGGAGGGCCAGGCTGTCAGGGCTCTCCCTCGGGGCTAGGCCTGTACTGACTTCTCCTGGCCTCCCTCCTCCCCGCCTCCAGGCCCCAGCTCTGAGACCTTCCTGTTGAGATGACATTTAACGTCAGCGGGGAGGGTAGTCCAGCAGAGCTGGGAGGGCACACTTCAGTGTGCTGGGGCTAAAGATGCCACGGGGGTTTGCATGAAGACTTGGGAAACAAAGCAGCAATGATTACAATCTGAAAACAAACCCAGCGAGGGGGTCAAAGAGAGAGCAGCATTTAGGTAAAGCACAGCATTCCAGAACATTCCAGGCTTGCCTCACCAGGGCTGTGTGCTCGCCTGCCACAGGGGGGCTGGAGGGGAGAGCCGGGGGCGTTCTGAGAGTGACTGCCACGCCAGGGGGTTCCTGGCTAAACTTCCTGCGTCTCTGGGGGTGTCTCCCTGGCCCTGAGGCCTTCATCTACACGGTGGGGGGCAGCGATGGTCACTGCTGGGGACCCAGTGGGATAGAAGGCTGCTTCAACCTTCTTGTCAGTGGGGAGCTGTGTGGGCTGCGCCCCAGTCAGGCCTGGCAGGCGGCTCCATTCCTCACGGTGCCCCTCCCCCAGCCAGTCAATCTCCAGGCAGTGAGTGAGGCTGTCAGCCAAGGGCAGGTAAGCAGCGTCCTTGGGAGCCCAGGAGATGCTGATTTATCCCCGCAGTTCAGAACAGCCTGTTTCAGCTCCAGCACGCTCTGCGTTTGGCCAGGGCACTGGGTGGTTTCGCTGGCTGCAGCCTGGTCTTCACTGGTGACCTT